TAGTTTGCTTAAATGCATTTATAGTATGGGTCTAGTCTAGTCAGCATGAGGTTATCATCAGCATGGGGCTTACCTTTATATGCATAGTTGCAATATGAAGTTGGTTGCACAAAATAGAGCCTGCAGCATAAGGTTGCATGTAGCATGGGGCTGCCTACAGCATGTGGCTGCCTGCAGTATAGAGCTGCTTGTAACATAGGGTTGCCTGCATCATGGGGATGCCTGCAGCATGGGGCTGCCTGCAGCATGGAACTGCCTGCAGCATAGGGCGGCCTGCAGCATGGGGCTGCCTGCAGCATGGGGCTGCCTGCAGCATGGAGCTGCCTATCGCATGGGGCTACCTGAAGCATCTAATTGTCCGTACCATGAGGTTGTATATGAAGTGGGGCTGACTATAACATAGTGTTGCTCGCAGCACGGGATTGTCTGTAGTCTGAGGCTATCGTGATACATAGATGTTTGCAACACGAAAATGCATACTACACTATGCTTTCTTCAACATAGAGCTACCTACAACATAAGTTTAAATGAAGCGTAGGATCGGTAGCATTTTTAAACTTTCCATATATCAATAAATCACAAAAACTTCTTTCAGGTACTCCGCTGGCATACTTGACGGTGTACTCACCTGGAAGCACCGTTCATCTCATGCTCGCATGGCGGATGAGAACGACAGCATTCCGCTGAGTGTGTTCACCCCTACACGACTTGATGCATTGTTCTCGCCCGATCCATGCACACGCCGTCGGGTATGTGTTCATACCATTTCGTGACATTATACTTGATATCATACATCATATTGTGTTATGTTAGTTTATGTCAAATATGCTTCTGACGCTTATTGATGATTTTTTTTTGTTACGCGATCATACAGTTCCACATTTGTCATCAACGCTCATAATAACAATAGTTTGTTCAAACTGTTTAAATATTTCTTACTTGTAGGTCTCATCCTTTATTGTGGAGCTGACAGTCTCCAAGATGGAACCCGGTTTCTTGCTGCGAGCTCTGTCTTCTGTACGTGACGAGAGCGGACGCTTTGGCTTGACGGCGTTAGGCTCATCAGCGGACCGGATTCGCATGTTCGTGGAAGAGCAACAGATGCTGACCAGGACATCATTCACGTCGACTTCAGTGGTCTTGTGGATCACAGAGCTCTACGTCGACCATCCTGAGATCTACACGACCAAGAGGTATCGTAAGATTAGGAGATATCGTAAGAGTCGTCGTAATGTGCTATGTCAGTTAACCGAGTGCAAGTATTTGAATGTGCACTGTGTTGATATATCTATATTGTTCGTGATTTGTGCGACACTAACTATCTTCCTATTTTGGCTATTGTAATCTTTCCTAAAGGTCGAGGGTCATCAAGATTACAGATGATGCTATTGCTGCTCGAGTCACGCAGAGTCCGACTCCTGTTCACACCGCATCAGCCGACGTCGGCAACATCACTTCGTAAGTGAAACACGTTGTTCATAGTTATCATGTATGTATTGCATGTTCGTCCACGCTAAAGATAGTATCAATTCTACCATCAATAACTGTTTGTATAATGATGTCCGGATTCTGTAAACTTGTTTAAATCGTTTATTCTCCCCCTTCCAGTTTGGGAGCAGTGGAAGACAACGTGGTCTTTTTGGGCAAAGAGATCACGTGTGCACTCAGCGTGAAAATACGCAGCACCGACATCACTACAGCATCGTTCTGCCCGTTCAGGCCGTCGGACGATGCCCCTGATGTTTGCGGTTTCCCCGTCACCGGATGGTGTTTCACCAACGACGGGTACCTCTATGACATAGGGCACGTGTCACACGACACGATCGAGCGAGATACCGTTGTCGCAGTCTTCGACACGACGACATGTGCTTGTGTATCCACATTTTATGTTGTACTTGTCGTTTGGTGTTCTATCTTGCATTACTTTATTGATGTTATGATCTTCTCACTAAATTTGCTTTGAATGTTTCTTTCCCTTCCAAAGTTGGAAAGACCGCCCGCACAGGTGTGACTACGATAGTGAGCTTGGGTGCTCTCGAGGACGGGCTGGAAGATTTCAGCATCGAGACATGGACCGCAGCTGATCGTGCTGGGAAGAGGGAGATATTGTCGAAACTCCTTCATACACGTCTTCAAATCAAGGTACGTAGCGCAATACGACAATGATGCTGTATGCTACAAGCGATCCTAAGCTGAAAGCGGCATTGTACAGTAGAAGTAAACATATCCTAAAAGGAACATCCTGCTACAGCCGATCCCATTGTTTAATATTGTGTATTGATTAAATTTGTATTGTGATATAAGGTCATACCATAATCATCGTTGGCCAAAACCCCATGTTTTTGGTCGTTTGTCTTTTCTCCCCCTATCACAGATGGTTACAAAGGCTGCTGGAGATCGCTTTGACAGGGTTATCAATACGATCATCATGGTAATTCTGTATTTGATCATTATTTGAACCATGACATAATATGATATTTTTGTTCTTATACGTATGTTCTCTTGTTTGCACATCAATTGACAAGTTATTTGCATTATTTTCATATTTGCGTGTTATTTGTAGGAGAAGCATGTTGCGGCTATGAACGACAACAACAAGCGTGTGGCGTCGAGTGTTCCTCCTACCATTCCCACGACACCCGTGAAGCTCGCCCGGCGTCGTGGCAGCCAGGTAAGACGCAAACCATCAATTTTAGCATCAATCATTATACTCAACTTCTGTATATGCATATGAGACAAAGTACATTATGGGATTGGTTGGAACATGTGTTTTTTGCACCGAATTTGTAGAGTTATATACTTGTTGCATTTTGCACACCGGTTTTTATTATATTACTTATTATCCTTTATTTTACGCATATGTTCGGTTAATTGTTATGTTTTGCAGGGTCTGTGAGCCCCAACATCTTCATTTGCTTCCTGATTCTTGAAGTGCAAGGATGAAGCACTGAAAATGAAGAAACGTAAGGGGAAGGAAGATGGGAAGAATTCAGAGGAAATATGCGAGTTCGGGCAAGAATGGCGGTTGCAATGGATTATATTCACTAGGACGCCCCCTTGATACATGTATATGCGGTCTATCATATGTGTGTGCATGCGTGTCTCTGTATCTGTTTGTGTGCGTGTGCACGCGCGTGCTGGCGCATGCGTCTATATATATAAACAACCTTGGATGGTGTTGGTTGTTTTGTTTCGAAGTTTGGTCTTAATATGTGTCGTGCTGCAATTCAAGATTGTCATCGTCGTTGATGCAACGTGTCTTCGTTGTTTCAACGACCCCATCAATCTAGGTTGCAACATTGACGCATATTAGTATCAGCTTCAGAACATATGTTTTTATGTTCGTTCACTCATGTCTGTTACTTATGTTCGTTTCGATGTGTGGTGTTCTTACGTATCGTGCTGCAGTTTGAGATTGTCATCGTCGTTGGTGCAACGTATCTTCGTTGTTTCAACGACTCCATCAATCTCGGTTGCAACATTGATATGCATTAGCATCCATTTCGGCACGTTCACAAACACTTGTGTCGTCGTTCATTCGGTATCCCGTGTCAGTTGCACTCGTACATGTTGATGCTATGTTATATTGTTCGATCATACCATCCGCCGTATTAATCGACGATGCTGGGATGGTCGGACATGTTTATGGCTTCAACATGGAACGCTCGTAATTGGTTTCACGTTCTGGAAGATGTAATTCAAAGTGTTGTTTTTAGTCACTTTTTGGGCATTTGTTTCAAATGTGTGCCCCAAAAAATGATTTGAAAAACAATCTTGAATGATATCCCCAAAAAGTGGAACTGATTATATAAGGTTGCTACGCAACCCAAAAAGTCGTCTCCTCATATTTCTCCATCAGCAAAGCGTACTTGTAGAAAAACGAGGGAAGAAAACATGCACCAAAAGAAACAAGCACTAGATAACGCCCACACGACAAGCAGCAGTGTCACTCCTACCAACTGCTTCCTTCTAGTGGTATTTTGGCGGCTGCACCCAAGTCCCGACCTGACCTGCTGGTTGACTCGGTTTGTGAGAAACATGATCGCCACGGACCGAATCAAACCGTTCAGCAACAAGCCTAACCGAGTGAGGCCGAGGTACGCCCAAACCCGGAGGGCTGACCCGAACCACGCTCAACGAGGCCGGGCCGTTTTGAGCCAGGCTCGAATCAAGCCAAGCCTAGCCGGGCCGGGCTGAACCGACCCGAGCCGAACCAAAAGTTTGCTGAGGGGCAGGTAGACTCGAGGGGCAGGTTGTTCTCCTCGTGCTGTGCTCTAAAAAACGTGTGGTTTACATGTATGCTAGTTGGAAACTCTCTTCAGTCGGCCGAAGAAGCACTAACGGGGATTTTTCCATCCCACCATCGCCCTCCAGCAAGCTACTGATGAATGCTTGTCCCTGAATTTCCTCTTAACACTTTGTTCGGTGGCCAGGCGTAAGGTCTGTCGCGAGTCTTCTTCGCCATAGGTGTAGTTCGACGCGCCGCCGCTTTCTAGCGTAGGCGACTGGGTGCAGAGAGACAAGAGAGAAGCTCTACGAACCTGCAGTGGCAAGTGAAATTGGTGTTGACGTGAGGGGAATCGTAGCGGACGCGAGTGGTGATCGTGAAGCGAATCGGAGCGGCTACTTTCTCGTGCGCGGATGGCGAAGGAGTTTGCGGAATTCATGGAGAGGTAGTATTTCCGAGGCGCCAAGAAGAATATGTATTTTCTGCCTATTTTGATTTGTAGAGAAGTACCTGCGTCCCTGGAATGATCCCTCTCCTCATCTAGAACAATTGTCTCATCTAGACCACAGCTCCGGATTGTTGGAGAGGTATCGCTGTCGCACCAATGTTTTGAGACGTCTCAATACACGGATTGTTGGAGACGTCTCTGTCGCACCAATTGTCTTACAACACGCCCTTTCCCGCATCCTGGTGGCCAATAGTATCGCTCCTCTCTCTTCTCTATCACCGCTCCTCTGCTTCTCCTCTTTCATCTCTCCCCTCTCGCCAACAGCTTCGAGGTGGCAGAGGCTTTCCACAGGAGGGGAACTGCTGCACTCTCGTCCTTCCAAACAGCACACGGTATGGCATGGTGTGGGATTACGTGGTATGGTGTGGTATGCGGTGTGGTATGCGGTGTGGTGTGGTATGGCGTGGTGAGGTGTGGTGTGGTATGTGGTGTGAGGTAGTAGAGGCTTTCCACAGGGGGGGAACTGCAGCCCTCTCGTCCTTCCAATCAGCACACGGTATGGTATGGTGTTGTGTGGTATGATATGGCGTGTGGTATGGTATGGTATGGTATGGTATGGTATGGTATGGTATGGTATGGTATGGTATGGTATGGTATGGTATATGGTATGGTATGGTATGGTATGGTATGGTATGTTATGGTATGGTATGGTATGGTATGGTATGGTATGGTATGGTATGGTATGGTATGGTATGGTATGGTATGGTATGGTATGGTATGGTATGGTATGGTATGGTATGGCATGGTATGGCATGGTATGGTATATGGTATGGTATGGTATGGTATGGTATGGTATGGTATGGTATGGTATGGTATGGTATGGTATGGTATGGTATGGTATGGTATGGTATGGTATGGTATGTCATGTCATGTAGTACGGCATGGTATATTGTAGGTATGGTATGGTATGACATGTGGTTTGAGATGGTGCATTTCATTCCTTATGGACACTGTCCATGTCTCAGCTGGTACTGTTCATGGGATGGATGAAATGTACTGCTCTGATACAGTGGGTCAGTGCTGTTTATGATGTCGTGGCACACTGTTCATGCCATCGCTCATGGTATCAGAGCAGTACCACCACTCATCCGCTGAAGCCATCTCAGAGTCCCCTCTCGTGTCAAACATCATCGCATCCCTCCCTCCCTCCTCCCCCAAACCCCTCTCCCACCCCTCCCCCCCGCCTCCCGTCCCCCCCCCCGCCTCCCTCTGAAGCCATCTCAGAGTCCCCTCTCGTGTCAAACATCCTCGCATCCCTCCCTCCCTCCCCCCCTCCTCCCCTCCCCACCTCTTCCCACTCCCTCCTCCCCCAACCCCCTCTCCCACCCCTCCCCCTCCCCCGCCCCCACCATCCGTGGTATCAAAGCAGTTTTACCGCTCATCTGCTAAAGCCGTGTTCGAGTCCCCTCTCGTGTCAAACATCATCGCATCCCTCCCGCCTCCCCCCCTCTCCCCGCCTCTCCCCTTTTTTTCCTTCTTCCCCCACCATCCATGGTATCAGAGCAGTTCTACCGCTCATCTGCTGAAGTCATTTCTCAGTCCCCTCTTGTATCTGGCATCCTCGCGTCCTTCCAGAACAAGCCGCCGTTTGCCGTACCCGACCCAACCAAAGCAACATCAGCATCTCCATCAGCCATGCATGCGATCTCCACACCATCACCAGCATCCTCATCCCCATCGCCTCTGGCTGAATACATGGCTGCTGGCTGCACTCGCCCGTCCACGCAGCAGCAAGCCGCCGTCACATGTACGTAGCATTGCTGCATGTAACATCATCATGACCACCATCAGCACCACCTGCACCATCATCCCCATCGCCTCTGGCTGAATACATGGCTTCTGGCTGCACTCGCCCATCCAAGCAGCAGCAAGCAGCTGTCACATGTACGTTCCACCACTTGTATACCATCACTGTCAGCAGCACCAGCACAAACACCAGCAGCACCATCACCAAAACAAGCACCAGCACCATCACTATCAGCATCAGCATCACCATCAGCGTCATCCCCATTGCCGCTGGCTGAATACATGGCTGCTGGCTGCACTCGCCCATCCAAGCAGCAGCAAGCCGCTGTCACATGTACGTTCCACCACTTGTATACCATCACTGTCAGCAGCACCAGCACAAACACCAGCACCATCACCAGCAAGCAGCTGTCACATGTACGTTCCACCGTCAATGACAGCAGCACGAGGAGTAACATCAGCATCAGCATAGCATCAGCATCAGTATCAGCATGAGCATGAGCATGAGCATGAGCATGAGCATGAGCATCAGCATCAGCATAGCATCAGCATCAGCGTCAGCATCAAAATCAGCATCAGCATCAGCATCACAATCAGCATCAGCATCAGCTTCCCATCGCCGCTGGCTGAATACATGTCTGCTGGCTTTCTTCCCCTCTCTGCCTCTTTTTTCTCTTCAAAATGGCAGTGCATACCTATCTCACGCTGCTGCAGCAACTGTTGACTCTTTAGTCGATGCTTAGTCACTTCCCCCTTGTTCCTTCCTCTCTCTGCCTCTCGTTTTTGTTCAGAATGGCAGTGCACACCTCCCTCACGCTGCTGCAGCAACTGCTGCCTCTTTAGTCGATGCTTAGTCACTTCTCCCTTGCTTCTTCCTCTCTCTGCCTCTCGTTTCTCTTCTGAATGGCAGTGCATACCTCCCTCACACTGCTGCAGCAGCTGGTAGAACTGCATCAGGTGAGCTTGCAACGGGTGACCATGTAACCAGGTAGCCTTGCTTTGCAGTGCCCACCTCCCCCCCCCCCCCCCCAACCTGCTGCAGCAGCTGGTGGAACTGCATCAGGTGAGCTTGTAACAGGTTACCATGTAACGATGTAACCAGGTAAGCATGTGACTATGCAGGAAACAGTGCTTGAAATGGACGATATTTGTCACACTGCCACCTCACGCTTACTATGAGAGACCCCCCACGTGTGCATGTGCTTATGTGAGCATGTGTTTATGTGTGCATGTACTTATGTGCTGTTTGTCTTCCCACACATACAGGAGACTGTGTCAGAGATGGAAGATATTTATCACACTGCCACCGCACACTTGCTTGAGGAAACCCTCCACATGCATGTGTTGATCTTCCCACTGTGTCTTCTCGCTATGTGTTTACACATGCAGGAGACAGTGTCAGAAATGGAGGATATTTATCACACTGCTGCTGCTTCACGTTTGCTTCACATCATGTGTTTATGTGTGCATGTGCATACGTGTTTCCCTTCCCACACATGCAGGAAACGGTGTCAGAAATGGAAGATATTTATCACTCTGCCGCCGCACGCTTGCTTGAGGAAACCCGCCACATGCATGTGTTGATCTTCCCACTGTGCCTTCTCGCTATGTGTTTACACATGCAGGAGACAGTGTCAGAAATGGAAGATATTTATCACGCTGCTGCCGCACGCTTGCTTGAGGAGAATCTGCATGCGTCAGCCCAGCCTGCTGGTGATGACGGTGTAGCTGCTGCTGCTGCTGGTGCAGTTAGTGGTGATATTGCTGATGTTCATAATTCTAATGCTGCTAATGCCAGTGCTGATGATGGTGCTGATGGTGGTACTGATGATGGTGCTGGTGATGGTACTGATGACAAGGACAGTTTGGGAGGAGCAATAGCAGGGACACGAAGCAGTGTAACAGTGCAAGCTGATGTGGTAACCATGATGGCAGCTGTGCTGGAAATGCTCAAGGAGGACCTTCAAATGAAGGTGCAGATTTGCCACCCGAGCTCGTTCGTTCTTAGATTGTTTCTCTCGATTTTTTTTGTTTTTCCCCTCGAACATGTTCTAGTCTGTTCAATGTCTCCTCCCCCACCTGCTCCCTTCTCACTGTCCCTCTTTCTCCTCTATCCTTCTTGTTTTCTGTGCTTGTTCTTGTCGTATTCAGCTCACCATAGTGGCAGACCTCTCTCTATCCACATCAGCTGCACACGTGTCAACATACTCGATGATGTGGCAGCTTCGGCCATTTGTGGATGAAAGGGTAACCAAAGAAGCTAGCAGATGGGCAAGTAGGATGAAGGTGGTAACTGCCAATTAAAATAAATGGCAGCTTACATAGCTCTAATGCAAGATGTTTTAATTTTCTGTCAGTACTTGGTAGCCATACCATCAGTTCAGCTCCCATATATCGTTTGAGTCTCTTTATATTACTTATCATGTGTGGCTCACAGCGAACCATGTCTATATCGAGAGTCAGCTCAAGTAAGGATCACGGCAGAATTGCGAAGCCCCGAAAAACGAGTCCGTTTGATTCAGTCCGAAATCCAACATCTTGTGTCTTCCTGCCCTCCTCTAAAGCTGTGCTCCTCAATCAACCCAACATAGCCAGCCATGGATGGCATTCAGATCCTACTGTCTTGTTCGTCCTTCTGTTATTATGCCTAAGGATGCCTAGGTTGTCGCTCACAGGTCACTAGCAGAATGGTGTTGTTCCATCAGTCATTGTGTGATCGTCAGGACGCTCAACTCAAGCGCCGCAGCTGCTCCAGGAATGACCGTTTTCAGGAATCACCCCGCAGTGACGATCTCGATTCTATTCCCTGAGTCGAATTTGCGGATAATATCCCCGTAATTTTCCACTGTGATTTCTCAGCGACGACGTCCGAAAACTCTGGTGCAGCGAATTCGGACACTTACGCAATGTCTAGCGCCAGAAAAGTGACAGCTGTCGCGAGTTTGAAAGCGGCAGCGGAAGAGTCTGCGCGAGAGGTGAGGCCGCCGAAAGGGGGAGTTGGAATTCACACATTGTTGTAGCTGCCGAGATTCCGTTGTGCACATTGCTTGTGACGAATTGATGTGTTCTATCATTTCTCATTTGTTAGATAATTGCACCATTTATCGTGCTCTATTTTGCCAGGCAGATGACGTCAGCGGCAAGGGACAACATCGAGGAAAGTTCGTGAACGCTCACCAGGCGAGACTCGCAAAAATTGAAGCGGCCAAGGCTAAGAGAGCAGCCGCTGCTGCTGCCGCGGCCGGTGGTTCTGCAGCCAATTCGGCTAAGTCTTCTAATTCCGCAGATGACTAGCGAAAGCAAGGTTAGTTTGGTAACTCGCCTGACTCTTTTGTCACCTTAGTTTCCTTCCGGAGGGGCTGTGGGTTGGAGCTCGTTCGAGTGCTTCACGTGCTTGAAAGTCGCTCTATTCCACAGTGCCATCGCCTCTTCAAGTTGGCCTTCGGGGATATTTATTGGGAGCATTGTCAGAAGTGGCATGCCTCTGTGGTGTCCATCTCTTGGATTGTTCCTACATTAAGTTACAGTCACGTTCGTTTCAGCCATATTCTTCATTTCTATTCTCAGTTAGGTTGGGAAACGCTTACCGTTTCTCAGTTTAATCCATTTTCTTATCACCAGTTTTTTTCCTCAAGCCTACTCCATTATTTACTGAACCACAACTCGCATGTATTTGTTCGCATGTCCCCTTCCGCTGTTCCGCAGGAGGAGGCACAAGGCGCATGCTCCATATTTATCGAAGTCAAACCAATTGTAAATAGATGTAAGGAATTTTCTCGGCATTCCTTACGGAGCCGACTACATCGCGTACAGCAACAGCCGATTGTTCGCCCGTTACTGCTAACGGAACTTCGCCGACTTCGCGCGCACTGTTTTGCCAAACCTCGCACTGCTGGCATGGCCGTATCGGCCTACGCTTCGGGACTAGCCCGAGCCTCGCTCCAGCGTAGCACTAGCAAGCTCGCACGCACCGCGTTACCGTTTTGCATGTTTCGCGTATAAATGTTCGCTCATGCCTTCGCTCACATTTTGTACTCGTTTGACACCTTAGTGCAATTCTCGTTACCTCGATTCATTGCACCTGTAACACTTGGTATCAGAGCCCCTTTCTTTCGGACCGCGCATCTCCGCACACCAGGAAATCAACTTTTGATTTTTCACTCGAAGGGACTCACGCACCTTAGCCCCTAGGAGCCGCTGTCCTCGCGTTCTCTCGTAAACGCGTGCAGCCACGACTGCGCCTAGACTAAGACGAGCCGACGCCCTTCGTCATGGCTGAAAATATCGACGTCACCACCCTCACGCAGGAGCGTTTGAACGATCTGCTGCGACAGCTGCACGAAAGCTCTGAGGAAATCGCGGCATTAACGGCAGAACGCTCATCGCTGCAAAATGACCTCATGAGGGCACAACAAGCACAATCTCAAGCACCTGGCACTCCGATTCAACCTGCACCCTCAACATCACAACACGGGAGTGTGGGGCAACTCGCGAGCGCGGCCAGTGATGGCGTCGTCCGCCCCGACGGAGACGACGACCACAGCACGACACACCCCAGAGCGACGCATGCGGCCCCAAGTCAGCCTCGCGTCACGATTTCGGCACCAACCCACGATTCGGGACTGCCGTCACCGATGCCGTTGAAGCCGCAGCGCCCGCCATGCTTTGACCCGAGTCAACGGGGTGGTCCTACCGTTCAGGCGTGGTTATTCACAATGAATGTTTTCTTCGACGCCAACTACGTCTCGGAGGACTCGGCGAAGATTCGATACGCCGTGTCGTTGCTGCGAGGACCCGCCATGGACTGGTGGCGCGTCATCGTCACGAAGCCGACCGACTACGCGACACTACCGACACGGGAAGGACAAACCGGACCCTGGGCGCCGTCGTATTTCGTGGAGGTGCCCCAGTATCGCACGTGGGACGCGTGGTGCGCAGGTCTGCGCGCTCGATTTGAGCCAATCGCGGCCTCGATCTCGGCGCGACAGAAGCTCCGCACTTGGCGCCAACTCGGTTCCGTCCAGGATTACACGAGCGGATTTCTGGCGCTATGCGAGCAGGTGGGCTACATGCATGAGAGCGAACGCATCGACCGCTACATCGGCGGCCTGAAGCAGGACATCGCTCAGGAAATCCAGCTTCGCGGCGTCACTGAGTTTCAGGAAATTCTCGCTATGGCGGAGAAGCTCGACTTCTTTCGCCGACCGAGACCGGGGTCCTACGGAAACAACACCTGGGGACATCGGCCTCGTGGGACGAACGAGAGCGCCACGATACGCGCCGTCGCCGCAAATGCCGCTGCCGCACCGTTCAAAGGGCGCTGCTTTGCGTGCAATCGGCCGGGACATCGCAAGAACGAATGCCCGGAAAACGCTAAGGGAAAGGGGGAAGCTGAGCAGCAGACACAGACCAAGCAGCAGGGAAACGCTGGAAGTCAGTAGCAGACGGGCCCTCTACTGACAGGTCACGCCGCTCGCCCGACCCAACCGACCCTCACCGAGTGATTGTGTCGGTTCATGCAATCGACCAAACCCGGCCGAATAAGGAGGGTACCACAGTAGATAGCCCTATACTGCTCAGTGGGAAAATTGGGACGGACTTAGTTAAAATCTTCGTAGACGGGGGAGCCAGCCACAGTCTCATTAACACTGCTACAGTACGGAAACTGCGACTGCCACTGGACCGATGCTTACCTGAGATCGACGCACGACTGGTAGACGGCACGCCGCTGGCGATACGGGAACGCGTAGACCGAGTTCGGATTCGATGCGGGGGTAACTTCACGTTTAGTCAGGAAATGCTCGCAACGACCCTCGACGGAACCGACATTTTACTCGGGCGTGATTGGCTGCGACGACACAATCCGCGAATTGACTGGACGATGGGTGACTGCACCGTGCGAGTTAACGGTAACAGCATCGCCTTACCTCGCTGGAGCTCGCCTGAGTCTTCGACGGTGCGTGTCAATGCGATCACGATGAAACGCGCTGTAGCGGCCGGAGCTGACGTGTACGCGGTTGACATTCGGGAAGCCGAGGCAGCAGACAAGGGGGGAGATTTACAGAAACTGCTGACCGACGTACCGAGTGACCTGGCGGCACTGTTAAAACAGTACAGTGACATTTTCCCGGATGACCTGCCGACGGGACTGCCACCTCAGCGACCGCACGATCACAGGATAGAACTGGAACCGGGGGCACAGCCAACAGTACAGCGACAGTTCCGACTGACCCAACCCGAACTAGACGAACTGAGGAAGCAGCTCGATTACCTGCTCGAGAAGGAATTCATTCGCCCTAGCTCGTCGCCCTTCGCCGCACCAATACTGTTCACACCGAAAAAGGACGGGGGTTTTCGCATGTGTATCGACTACAGGGCACTGAACAGGGTTACCATCAAATCCCGTTACCCCATCCCACGAGCCGACGAACTGATCGACCAACTGCGCACAGCCCGGGTTTTCTCGAAAATTGACCTCCGGGGAGGCTACCACCAAATCCGCGTCAACCCACCCGACTGCCCTAAAACCGCATTCCGAACACGCTACGGATCCTTCGAATACACTGTCATGCCATTCGGACTGACCAACGCCCCCGCCACCTTCCAAATGACCATGAACGACGCATTCCGCCCACTTTTAGATAAGTGCGTCATCGTTTATCTGGACGACATACTGATTTACAGCCCTGACAGAGCACAGCACTTGCAAGACATCGAAGCAGTTTTTAAAATCCTGAGTGAAAACCGCCTACTGACCAAAGCATCTAAGTGTGAGTTTTTACAGGACCGCCTGGAGTTTTTGGGACATGTTATTTCAACTGCAGGAGTGGAAATAGACCCGAAGAAAATTGCGACGATTCAGGCTTGGCACGCGCCGACCAACTTGACAGAGTTGCAGAGTTTCCTGGGGTTCGTCAACTACGTGCGCCGGTTCGTCCCCGACATGGCGAAGCTGACTGCCCCGTTGACCGACCTGCTGAGGAAGGGGGTTGAGTACACGTGGGGGGAGAAAGAGCAAGCTGCCTTCTCGGCCCTCAAAAATATTTTGTGCTCCCCGCCCGTCCTTCACATTGCAGATCCCCACCGTCCGTTCGAGCTCGTCACCGACGCAAGTGACATCGCTGTGGGAGCAGTACTGTTGCAGGACTTCGGGAACGGCCTCCAGCCAATCGCGTACGAGTCCCGCAAACTACACCCGCCCGAACGTAACTACCCGATACACGACCGCGAGATGCTAGCGATCGTGCACGCGTTCAAAGTTTGGCGGTGTTACCTGACTGGCGCCGACGTGACAGTACGGACAGACCACCGCTCGCTACAGTACCTTCGCGCCCAACCGAATCTCAACCCACGACAGATTCGCTGGTTGGACTATCTCGAGTCCAATTTTCACTACACCGTCACGTACAAAAAAGGAGCATCCAACATCGCCGACGCTCTCACCCGCCCCACCGCCCAACTCCACGCCATCCTACTCGCCCAGACCAACCCGCTTTTAACTGGCCTATTCACCCACGGATACCGCACCGACCCATTTTTCACGACCGGAAATTCGCAGCAACTGGCAGAAGCAAAAGGAGTCTATTACGTAAAAACAGGCACCAACCGCATTTGGGTACCCGCGTACTCACTACTGAGGGAGCTACTACTGCAGGAGGCACACGACGGGATTACCTCGGGACATTTCGGGGTAGAAAAAACGCGACAGCAACTGCAGCGGTATTATTACTGGCCGGAGCTGTTGACCGACGTACAGCAGCACGTGGGCTCGTGCCCGACGTGTCAGGTGATGAAGAGTTCAAGGAAGCGGAAGGCGGGTCAATTGCAGCCGATCCCACCGCCCGAACGCGCCTGGCAGCAAGTAACCATGGACTTCGTCACAGGGTTACCTTCGAACCCTGGGGGTAACGACGCGGTGATGGTCGTCGTGGATAGGTTGACGAAGATGGCACACTTCGCTGCGTGCAAAAAGTCGATCTCAGCCGAAGAGACCGCTCGCCTGTTCATCGCAGCCGTTGTTCGCCTGCACGGGATACCAGCAGCAATTATCAGCGACAGGGACACGAAGTTTACCAGCAACTTCTGGAAGAACCTCTGGGAGCAGTTCGGGACCAGGCTACAGTTCAGTTCGTCGTACCACCCCGAGACCGACGGCCAAACGGAGCGGACGAATCAGACGATGGAGCAGTTGATTCGTGCCACGTGCGACGACCCCACGACCTGGGAGCAGCAGCTGCCGCTGATCGAGTTCGCGTACAACAACGCCACATCAGCCACGACGCAGCAGTCCCCGTTCTACCTGAACTATGGGCAAAACCCCACAGTGCCCATGACGCCGAGTCCGGACAACCCAACGCCACGTGCACAACAATTCGCCGAAATCCTGCAAGCTGCCCGCGTCAGAGCCGCCGAAGCAATAAAAAAGGCCAACGTCATCGCTAAGCGCAACGCTGATCGTCACCGCCGCCCCGTCACGTATCAATCTGGAGATTACGTGCTACTCGACACGCAAAATCTGCGACTGCCCGACGTACCAAAATTACGACCACGCTACTGTGGACCATTCCAAATCAGTCACATGATCACACCCGTCACCGCGCACCTACTGTTGCCAACCGACTGGTACATCAGCCCTTCGTTCCACGTCAGCCTACTTCGCCCATACAACCCGACCACAAGCTAACTGCCGCGTCACCGGCCACAATCAATGACTCGCCCTGCATCAGAGCCGATCGTCGAGCCCGAAAAAATTCTGAGCCATCGGATCCGCCACCCCACGGGAATCAGGAGGATTGAATTCCTCGTTCGCTGGAAAGACCGCACGCCAACTGAAGATAGCTGGGTGCCCCTGAGCAACATCGAAAATCACCCTGCCCTGCAAGTGTACCTGAGGAGCCGGGGATTCCGCGATATACACGCACTCGCGTAGCGGAGGGGGCTTCTTAAGGGGGGGGGTAGTGTAAGGAATTTTCTCGGCATTCCTTACGGAGCCGACTACATCGCGAACAGCAACAGCCGATTGTTCGCCCGTTACTGCTAACGGAACTTCGCCGACTTCGCGCGCACTGTTTTGCCAAACCTCGCACTGCTGGCATGGCCGTATCGGCCTACGCTTCGGGACTAGCCCGAGCCTCGCTCCAGCGTAGCACTAGCAAGCTCGCACGCACCGCGTTACCGTTTTGCATGTTTCGCGTATAAATGTTCGCTCATGCCTTCGCTCACATTTTGTACTCGTTTGACACCTTAGTGCAATTCTCGCTACCTCGATTCATTGCACCCGTAACAATAGACATGAGATGAGATGAGAACTATATCAAAGCGTAGGTGCTTTGCTGTAGCCATGTTTGTTGACGCAATGAGATGAGAGGCATTACTTCACTCCATATGTTCTGGTCTATTGTCTATCGGTTAGCGAGGAAGTGTAACTAATCTGTATCTTTGTCTTATATGTGAACTGTGATTGCATGTCTTTTGTCCTATGCTCGAGGAGAATTTTCAAGCACTTCCAGCAGAACAACCGTGTAGTGTACAGTCGCGTCAGTCCCCCATTCATCCTATAGGGCGTACAAGGGGTCACTCACGCACCATCACAGAAAAATATTATCTACCTTGCACATCAAGCGTCATTCACGCTCCAAGTCGCTTCACTGGACACTCAAGAGGGTTCCCGCCACCTAAGCAGCGGCGAGTGCGAGTAATTCTTTTTCTAGCGCGGCCAACTAAATCTTTCTTGAATGCTCACCATGGCGCTCCGACCAGCGATGCAGCTGCTGGTAGCCTATGAGTCATCTTAGACCACTAGGCGAATCTCCCTCGGGATTGCCGGACGATTCGTCCTCGAGATAGGGTGACCAGCGAATGCCCGCCATGGCGACTCCCGCCAGCGAAGTGGCGGCGAGTGCAGCGGCCGCGTTCGCTTTCACTGCTGCGAACCGCAGCTGCATCATCGTCAGCCAGAAACAGGTACCGCGATTCTGAGTCCAAAAGAACCGACTTTCACCGCCACGAACCGCAGCTGTCTCATCGTCAGCCCAAAACAGGTCCCGCAATTATGAGTCGACTCAACAAGTCACCTTGAGTGCAGCCGCAGCGTTCGCTTTCACGGCTGCTAATCGCAGCTGCATCATTTTCAGCCCAAAGCAGGCACCGTGGCTCTGAGTCTCACTCGCCCTCCCCACCTCCTTGACGTTGCAGGGAGTTTTTGAGAATTCTCAAAAACTCCCTTCAGCCCAAAGCAGGCACCGTGGCTCTGAGTCTCACTCGCCCTCCCCAACTCCTCCCCTTCTCACAGAACCCTTCCTTCTCCTTTCTGATTCGCAGTGCCCTGTACCGCAGAGGGGCAACCCTGTGCTCGTGTTTTGAGGCGCCTCAAAAAAAATTTAGGCGACTTTTGAGGCGCCTCAAAAGTCTTCTCCTTTCTGATTCGCAGTGCCCTGTACCGCAGAGGCGCAACCCTGTGCTCGCTCACATCAGGAACGTGAGGTGGGCGTTTGGGACTAAACAAGGATTCTGCAAGTAGACTAAAAGAACACATCCCTCGGGTCTTTCCCCTTATGCTCCCTTTGCACGGCAGAGGCGCAACCCTGTGCTCGCTCACATCAGGAACGTGAGGTGGGTGTTTGGGACTAAAAAAGAGGCACCTTTTCCTTTCTCTCCCCCCTCTGCTCTGCCCTATCCTGTACTCCAGCGGGGCAACCCTGTGCTCGCTCACATCAGGAACGTGAGGTGGGCGTTTGGGGAGATCACTGCCGACTAGTGGCTAAGCTCTCTCTCTCTCTCTGCTCGTTCCCCTCTGATGTCTACTCTGCATGGCAGCGGGGCAACCCTGTGCTCACCCACATCAGGAACGTGCGGTGGGCGTTTGGGGAGATCACGCCAGACTATCTCCTCTCCCCCTCCTCCTGCGCGCTCTTCCTCTCTCTCCGATACCACCTGCTGCACCCAGACTACCTCTACTTTCGAATTAGGTAAGTCGAAGCCTGTATTGGACTAGTTTATAACGAACTATTGTACTCTCCCTCCTCCTGATTATCTTTACTCTTCAATCAGCCAGATCTGAGCCTGGTTTTGTATATCTCATGCTTTCGTTTTCTGACATATTGACCTTTTCTATGCCTCTGCCTTTCGGCCAATTAGGGAGCTGCAGAAGAGCTTCCGCCTGCGAATCGTGCTGTGCCACGTGGACGTTGATGACGTCACCAAGCCCCTGCATGACATCACCAAGACGGCTCTTCTGAATGATTGCACACTCCTGTGCGCCTGGAGGTGAGATTCACTTCACTAGTTAGGCAGCCCTGTTTCCCTCTCTTCCTGCCTGCCTGCCTGCCTGCCTGCCTGCCTGCCTGCCTGCATTCCTGCCTGCATTCCTGCCTGCCTGCCTGCCTGCCTGCCTGCCTGCCTGCCTGCCTGCCTGCCTGCCTGCCTGCCTGCCTGCCTGCCTGCCTGCCTGCCTGCCTGCCTGCCTGCCTGCCTGCCTGCCTGCCTGCCTGCCTGCCTGCTCCTCTCTCCCATCCTCTGCCTTCCTGCCTTTCCTGCCTTCCTGCCTTTCCTGCCTTCCTGCCTTTCCTGCCTTCCTGCACTGCTCTGACCCCTCAGTCCCAACGAGTGCGCTTGGTACCTAGAGACTCTCAAGAGCTACGAGAACAAGCCGGCTGATTGCCTGCCCTTCTCTTCTGTCACACTTCCCCTCCTGTCCCTTCTTCTTCCGTCTGCTGCCTACCTTCCTCCCTGTTCCAGTCCCAACGAGTGTGCGCGGTACCTGGAGACTCTCAAGAGCTACGAGAACAAGCCGGCAAACGGCATTCAAGAGCGAGTCGACAGCGATTATATTTCCCGAGTAACTATACTGAACAGTGACAATGTTTTCTGGGTAACCATTAAGATTACCGTGGCCTGCCTCTGTCAGCTAGGTGACTTTTGAGTCGACTCAAAAGTCACCCCGTGGCCTGCCTCTGTCAGTTTTCAAGAGCAGGTAGACCGCGGTTACATCTCCCAGGTAATGGTGATGATAGGGGGTTTTACTGAGAGGCCTCGGTTACTTGTTCTGAGACATGTTTAAGTCAAGAAATGGGTAGGGATGATGCGAGGTTTTTCGAAGAGGCTGCAGCTTCTTGCCCCTGTTCTGCCTGCCCGTACCTGCATGGGCACGATTGGACGGCAGTGACTATATTTAAGCCTACTGCACGCACGCAGCTATGTCTGGATCTCGTATGGACACGATCGGACGGCAGTGACTATATGTCCCTGAGTCATGCCTTCTGACACGTGTGTTTTTTAAGAATTCTCAAAAAACACACGGGAATTCTAAAAAAATACACGGCAGTGACTATATTTCCCTGAGTCATGCCTTCTGACACGTCTCAAAAGTTGCCCTCTGCCCGGCAGTATGAATACAACTGGTTAGTGATTCTATTTCCCGGGTACTGATGAGTCTCTGGGTAATGATGACCCTACATGAGTGAAGCTGCTGCTGCTCTCTCCCTCCTCACACCAACCCTCCCCCACCCTCTGGACCGCCCCTTCCCCTCTTCCCTCTGTCCAGCTCTCACTCTCTTGGCTCTCTCCCTCCTTTCCAACCCACTTCTCCCCCTGCTGCCCCGTTCTCCCACCCGCCTCTCCCCCCTTCTCCCCCTGCTGTCCCGTTCTCCCACCCGCCTCTCCCCCCTTCTCCCCCTGCTGCCCCGTTCTCCCACCCTCCTCTCCCTCCTTCTCCCCCTGCTGTCCCGTTCTCCCACCCGCCTCTCCCCCCTTCTCCTCCCACCTGCCTCTCCCCCCTTCTCCTCCCACCCGCCTCTCCCGCCTTCTCCTCCTGCTCTCCTGCTCACCAGCGCCCTCCCTCACGCCCATCCGCCATGTCAACTGCACCGATGCTCTCATGCCCTCTCCCTCCTTTCTAAAACCCCCTTCACTACCTCCCATCCTCCCTCTCCCCCATCTCCTCCCTCCTCTCCAGCTCATCAGTGCCCTCACGCCCATCCGCCATGTCAACTGCACCGATGCTCTCATCTCATGCCCTCTCCCTCCTTTCTAAAACCCCCTTCACTACCTCCCATCCTCCCTCTCCCCCATCTCCTCCCTCCTCTCCAGCTCACCAGTGCCCTCACGTCCATCCGCCATGTCAACCGCACCGTTGCCCTTACCCTCGCTTTCCCCTTCCCTCCAAACAATTCTCGCACTCCCTCATTTCATCCCATCTCTCCAGCTCACCAGCGCCCTCACGTCCATCCGCCATGTCAACAAAACCGATGCTCTCACTCTGGGGACTAACTTTGGGGTGAGAGAGTGTGTGAGTGAGTGAGTGTGTGTGTGAGTGAGTGTGTGTGAGTGTGTGAGCGTATGTGCGTAAGAGAGTGAGTGAGTGAGTGCTCTCACTTTGGGGACTAACTTTGGGGTGAGTGAGTGTGTGTGTGAGTGAGTGTGTGTGTGAGTGAGTGTGTGTGTGAGCGTATGTGTGAGTGAGTGAGGTGACAAGATAGAAGCCCGCCATTCGAGGACGCTAATATCTTCAGTGCTTCCATTCCATGTGTTTTTCTTGTACTGTCTATCACCAAACCTTAGCCAACAACATGGGATGGTGAATTGGTCCCTTTTTTTAAGGCACCTAATAAATGGTGACTTGGTGTCTGGTGCCTTGTGTTTTTTCGCCCTGATTTGTTTTCTTTTTGCGTAACTACATTGAGGCATTTTTATGTAGATAAAAGTTTTGAGGCCTTGGTGACTTGGGCTTTCACGCAAAATTCTGCCCTGTAATTTGCCATGCTCGCTTTAATCATACAAGTTTTGACACTGCAGTTACATCATGCCTTCTCGTTCCTTCTCGTGCTCTCATTCTGACCAGACTCTGGCCAACATCATGGGGGCATCGATGGATGAGCTCTCGCGGTGCCCAGGGATAGGAGAGAAGAAGGTGGGTGGGTGAGGTACAGTGCTGTATGACTTGGTGGTGTGCGGTACAGAGGTGTATTTGTGTGTTGATGGTCAGGAGACAGTAGAACATAATGGGGGCATCAATGGACGAGCTCTCACGGTGTCCGGGGATAGGAGAGAAAAAGGTGTGTGCTGGTGTGGTGGTGTGCGGTACAGAGGTTAGTGTGTGTGTGGTAATGGGGCAGGAGACAGAAGAACAGCAAGGGGGCGTGGATGACGAGCTTATGGTTCTGCCTCGCAGCACGTGAAATGAGAGTGTTTTAGAGACGTCTAAAAAACACTCTCATTTCACAAGGTGGCATGGATGACGAGCTTATGGTTCTGTCCCTTCCCCAACACCACCAGACCAACTGACTGATTGCTCTGCACGACCTGCTTGTGAGTTGACTCAAGAGCTTATGGTTCTGTCCCTTCCCCAACACCACCAGATCACCTGACTGATTGCTCTGCACGACCTGCTTGTGAGTTGACTCAAGAGTTTATGGTTCTGTCCCTTCCCCAACACCACCAGATCAACTGACTGATTGCTCTGCACGACCTGCTTGTGAGTTGACTCAAGAGCTTATGGTTCTGTCCCTTCCCCAACACCACCAGATCAACTAACTGATTGCTCTGCACGACCTCTCAATTGCCTTCGCCTGTGTTTCCGCTCGCCCTAAACCTTAAACCCGAAACCCTGAGTTTCTTTTGAGTCGACTCAAAAGTCAACCCTGAGTTTCTTTTGAGTCGACTCAAAAGTCAACCCTGAGTTTCTTTTGAGTCGACTCAAAAGTCAACCCTGAGTTTCTTTTGAGTCGACTCAAAAGTCAACCCTGAGTTTCTTTTGAGTCGACTCAAAAGTCAACCCTGAGTTTCTTTTGAGTCGACTCAAAAGTCAACCCTGAGTTTCTTTTGAGTCGACTCAAAAGTCAACCCTGAGTTTCTTTTGAGTCGACTCAAAAGTCAACCCTGAGTTTCTTTTGAGTCGACTCAAAAGTCAACCCTGAGTTTCTTTTGAGTCGACTCAAAAGTCAACCCTGAGTTTCTTTTGAGTCGACTCAAAAGTCAACCCTGAGTTTCTTTTGAGTCGACTCAAAAGTCAACCCTGAGTTTCTTTTGAGTCGACTCAAAAGTCAACCCTGAGTTTCTTTTGAGTCGACTCAAAAGTCAACCCTGAGTTTCTTTTGAGTCGACTCAAAAGTCAACCCTGAGTTTCTTTTGAGTCGACTCAAAAGTCAACCCTGAGTTTCTTTTGAGTCGACTCAAAAGTCAACCCTGAGTTTCTTTTGAGTCGACTCAAAAGTCAACCCTGAGTTTCTTTTGAGTCGACTCAAAAGTCAACCCTGAGTTTCTTTTGAGTCGACTCAAAAGTCAACCCTGAGTTTCTTTTGAGTCGACTCAAAAGTCAACCCTGAGTTTCTTTTGAGTCGACTCAAAAGTCAACCCTGAGTTTCTTTTGAGTCGACTCAAAAGTCAACCCTGAGTTTCTGTGTAAAAATGCATTTGAGTCGACTAAAAATGCATCATCATGTTGTTTCCACGACTCATCACCACCAGATCAAGTGGTTGCACACCGCCCGTGAGCCAGTCTTTTGAGGCGCCTCAAAAGTTGTTTCCACAACTCATCACAACTCATCACCACCAGATCAAGCGGTTGCACACCGCCCGTGAGCCAGTCTTTTGAGGCGCCTCAAAAGTTGTTTCCACAGCTCATCACAACTCATCACCACCGGATCAAGTGGTTGCACGCCGCCCGTGAGCCAGTCGTTTGAGGCGCCTCAAAAGTTGTTTCCACAACTCATCACCACCAGATCAAGTGGTTGCACGCCGCCCGTGAGCCAGTCTTTTGAGGCGCCTCAAAAGTTGTTTCCACAGCTCATCACAACTCATCACCACCAGATCAAGTGGTTGCACGCCGCCCGTGAGCCAGTCTTTTCGACGTCGCAAAATCCATAACTTCCAGATTCACCGGGCTTCGTTCGTGTTTCTGCTCCCCGTCCTCACCAGGTCAGGTATCTCAGGGGTCACCCTGACTCATGTTTCGAAGAGCAGACACCAGGTCAGGTGTCCGCACAGATCGTGAAAATCCAGTATTGAGCCGCCTCAAAACTAGATTTCTGCAGGGAGTTTTTGAGAATTCTCAGAAACTCCCTGCAACACCTCAAAACTATGTTTCTGCTCCCGGTCCTCACCAGATCAGGTGTCTGCTCTGCACAGATCGTGCAAATCGCGATTTCCATGACCCGATCTTTGAGGCGTGCTCAGAAAGCGTAATCGCCAGATTCGTTTGCCTCCGTTTGTGCTTCCACACCCCATCCTCACCAGATCAAGTGGTTGCACGATGCTTTCCATGAGCCGTTTCGGAGGCGTGGCTCCAAACAGGCAAAATTAGCCCTCTTTCCTGCTTCTGCTGCAGCTGCTGTTGGTGCTGATGCTGGTGATTCACACCCTGTGATTACCCTGTTTCCACACCCCATCCTCACCAGATCAAGTGGTTGCACGATGCTTTCCATGAGCCAATCTAAGAGGCACCTCAAACTCCAGGAGCTCCAGATGAACCTGACTTAGTCTGTGTTTCTGCTCCCACCCTCACCAGATCAAGTGGTTGCACGATGCTTTCCATGAGCGGATCTATTTTAAGCGCCTCGATAGCCATAATTTCCAGATTCACTTGGCTTCGCTTGCATTTCCACACCCTGTCCTCACCAGATCAAGTGGTTGCACGATGCTTTCCATGAGCCGTTTCGAAGGCGAGGATCCAAACAGGCCAAACTGGCCCTCCTTCCTGCAGCTGCTGGTGCTGCTGCTGGTGCTGCTGCTGGTGCTGCTGCTGGTGCTGCTGCTGGTGCTGCTGCTGGTACTGCTGCTGGTACTGCTGTAGCTGGTACTGCCGAGGGTTTCGCTGGTGTTGCTGATGCTGCTGGTGCAGCTGCTGGTGGTGCAGCTGCTGGTGGTGCTGCTGCTGCTGCTCGTGGCGCCACTGGTCCTGGTGGCGCTACTGCTGGTGACAATGGTGTTAGTGATGGCACTGCTGCTGCGACTGCTGACGCTGTCACCACTGTCACTATGGTCAATGCTGCCGCTACCGCCGCTACTGTGAAGGCTGCTGGAGATGGCAACGCTGCTGCTACTGTCACTACTGCTGATGCTGCTGCTGCTGCCATTACTGCTGATGCTGCCGCTACTGCCGCTACTGTGGAGGCTGCTGGGGATGGCAACGCTGCGGCTGCACCAATGGATAAACCGCCGGCCCTTCATGCTGCTAGCAGTGCAGCCAATACACAGGAGGACTTGATTTCAAGCAGGGAATTTCCTGACCAACAGCCTTCAGATCTTGCTGATTTCCGTGCTGCGTTTTCTCATGTCCAACCCGACACAGTGTGATTAGATGGGCAGGGCAGTCATTTGTTATTCTGCCGCTTCCATTCCATTCGCTTGTACATAGCAATACAAAAGTCAAGCATGGTACTAGTTGAGATTGTTGTTGGTTTCTCTTTTATGAAGGATGTTGGAGGCAAGTTGATGATGCCTTATGAAGGGGCTTGTTATACGGTAGATGCCATGCTTTACATGACACGTGCCTGCCACTTCCCTCGCCTCCTCTTCTGCTTCTCTCAACCTCTCACCCAGACCCGCTCTCTCTCTCTTGAGAACTCTCAAACGCGTTGTGTTGTGATGGCATTCGAAGGAACTTGTTATAGGTGCCAATGGCTTCATGCCAGCTTGACACGTGTCACTTCCCTCTCCTACTCTTGAGGCAGCACAAGGCAGCACTACGGTATGAGCATAAGGCAGAACTACTATGAGCACAAGACACCCACCCGTGGTGACACACACCCATCAGGTTGGACCAACAGATTGGCGAGTAGCAGTGTGAGCACTGCCTAAGGAGGCAAGAGGCATGGCAAACAGGGCTCATGGCAAACAGGGCTCATGGCAAACAGGGCTCATGGCAAACAGGGCTCATGGCAAACAGGGCTCATGGCAAACAGGGCTCATGGCAAACAGGGCTCATGGCAAACAGGGCTCATGGCAAACAGGGCTCATGGCAAACAGGGCTCATGGCAAACAGGGCTCGTGGCAAACAGGGCTCATGGCAAACAGGGCTCTCCCCCGAGCAGCAGAGCGTTTGCCTGATCTATCAGCAGCAGCCCCAGTGTAGCCCCCCAAGGGGCCTCGGTCAGGTGAAGTGACACGCAGGAGAGGGGGGTACGGTATTTGCTGTGTCGTAACCCCCTTCTTCTAAGTGAACGCTGCTACGTAGATTTAGGCTGTGTCGTATTCTCTTGAAATTCTACCCAAGAGCAACGAGCCGCTCTGATCCGCACAACATCTCATTCCACCACAGTAAAGTGAAATTTTGTGACACTCACTTAGAGGTTGGGAGGGAGCAGCATTTACAAGCAAAAGATACCCTGTTGCGATGACACTCACTCACCCACTTATGATGAAATGGTGTTGAGACTGACCCAGTTGCGACGGTGATGCGCAGCAGGTGAAACGTTGCATTGCACAGCACAGCATACAAGATGGTTGCCGAGGTATACAGTACATGGGAAGGTGAAGCAGAGTAGCACATGCGATGCGACAGTGAAACACGGTGGTACAAGGGATGGCGATGCACCATAAGCACATGGGAGGAAGGTAAAGACAAGTACTGCTTTTTAATATATAAAAAATCAAGTCTTACATCATTGCCACCTTTATTTGCCTCGTGGGTAGCTGCTGACAACAGCACACAGCAAGCTAACGGCTCTCTAAGCAAGAGTGCCTACCCACTAGGCTTCATGCATATGCATGGCAGATGCCTCAAAGCGGATCCCTCCATCCCCTCCCCTTCCACCGTCCCCACTGCCCCAATTCTTCGTAAGTAGAGACCCCACCCAGGTGGTAGAAAAGCAAAAGACAACCCTACAAATCTAGGGAAGTGTGCTGCTCTTCCCGACTGTGCCGTATCAACAACCCAGCCAGTCCTGATTCTCCACAGTGCAGAGCCGTTTACTCCAGAGCCTGCTTGAGACCGTTGGGCCGCACATACAAGATGCTGTTGCTGTTCCACAGAACGAACTCTAGCGCGTTATTAGCAGCCTCGGTAGGGTTATAGTCGTCCCACCACACGGACTTAGCCGGCTCGTCGCACACTGATGCGGTGTAGTTCTTGCCTCCCTCCTCCACGGTCTGCCCGCAAGAAATTCTCTCGCCCTTGGGGGTTTCGCCCTGGCAGCAGGGAGTGAGCTTGCTGGTGAAAGCTGCAGGGCAGTAGCAAGAAGGAAATGCAAGGCATGTGAGAAGGGTTGATGAGTACTCAATAAAATGCACACAAAGGTGTGAGTATAAAAGGAGGAAGGAGGAAAAGAGGCATCAGCAGCGAAGCCAAGGCATGGAAACTGCATGAGTATGGAATGCTATGGGGTATGGGGGGGGCCGTACCAGTTCCGTCCTTGAGCAGAAGGTTCTCAAATCCGCTCGACATGCGGAAAAGAATCAAATCCTTCACTCCCGCCGCCCGCAGCTTGTCCAGCTTCATCGACAGCGCCTGGTTGTGCTCCGCCGCGATCTGATTGGCCGGCTCGTAGCACCCGGCGGACTCGCTCACGAGACCCTTGGCTAAGCGCACGGCGGGAATGCATCCGAGAGGGGCCAAGTCGTAAACAACAAACTTAGTGGCGCGCGTGGTCTTGAAGAGAACGAGAATCGCGTCGACGATGGCGTTGGTGGTGGACGAGACGAGGTCTGCTGCCGCCTTGTCGCCTCCGTCCCCTAGAATCGCGTCGAGATAGTCGTTGGTGCCGATGCTGATAACGAAGACTGCTGTGTTGAATTTCTGAGGAAAGGTGCAGAGAGGGGTGTGGCAGAGGAGAGGAGGGGGAAAACGGGAGGAGGAAAAGTTGAAGAAAAGCAATGGCGGTGGAGTAGCGAAGTGAGACTAGTAACAGGAAGTGGGGAAGCGAGGGGACAAGGAAGGGCAAGAGGTAGGAGGGGTAATAAGAGCGGGTAGTGGGGTCTAGAGATTCAACTCACCATTCCCCTGCGGTCGGCAGCGTACTGGCTGAAGAACTCCAGCTGATGCTGCAAGCTCCACGTCTGGTTGCTGTTGATCCAGGGCTTGGTGCCGGCGCCTGCCGTGGCGAAGCTGGTGCCCTGCTTTGAGACGAGCGACTTGGTGATGTACGGCATCAGGTAGTCGCTGCCCATGTCCTCGGCTGGTAGAATAGGACGAGAAGGAAAGGGGAGAGACAGGGAGCGATTTCTCAAATACCGTCTAGGTCGTCGGTGCCTAGTGGTTCTGAAACGGCAGCGACTTTTAGTCACTCCCCTCGCAGTCCTCGGCTGCGACGAATGCGAAGAGATGGCGGCACAGGAGTCGTTGTGGGAAGAAAGGCGGACGACCGGCGACAATCAAGGCGCGTCACTCACTGATGAGGTCGATGGTGAGTCGGCCGTTGCAGAACCGGCCCGGAGCTTGTTTGAAGCCGATGCCGTACGGCTCCATGTCAGCCCTCCATCCGGCGGACTCGAGGTGGTTTGTCATTCCCGTGTCCAGGTACTGGTCTCCGAACGCGAACACCTGCGGTGGTCCCACCGTGCTTTTGCTCGAAGACGATTTGCTTGTATCGGAGCTGCTCTTCTTCGCATCGTCGACTGTGGACGACGCGCGGGCGAGGTGGATGGACAGAAGCGCGACGAGCACGAGAGTGACTGAAGCGGAGATCTTCGCCATTGTGACAAGGGTTCTCTTTCAAAAATTAGCTCAAAGGATATTAATCAACAGGCTTCAAGTCTTTCGGACCGGAGTGTCCGAAGAGTCGAAACGCCGAATTAGAAGTTTTTTCGTTGGATGTTTTAGAGCGGCAAGGACTGATCGATTGAATGAAATGCTGCTAGGCAGCGGCGTATGGAGTTTAATGTGCTCAACTAGGCTGAGTATGATGATGCTGTAATACGAAATCAGCAAGCGCTTTAGTAATAAGGAGACGATTGCTAATCCAACTGTGCTCCGTTCACACTTGGGAAGGGCTGATCGTGGTCTGTGGACTCATGGGCAGTCGCAATGCGACTCCCATGGCGGGACGCGCGATTGGAATTCGAGAAGGGGAGGGCGCATTGGCTGGCAGCAGAGAAGGGAAGGGAAGGGAAGGGAACCAGGGGTTGGAGAGGGAGAGGTGGGGCAAACTGGATGAATCTCGCCGCGCATTTGCCAGCTGCCGCAGGCAGAACCGTGTGAGAAATTGTAATGCGATTCGAGTCGCCATGTGTGGTAAGGTGGGCAAATTTGCGCATACCCATGGGCGAAGTATGGGATGGGTTGGGATGGGCAAGGCGGCTCGAGCCAAGTGTTATGTCGAGACGCAGAGATTTGCGAGAGACGAGATACATTCTCACGAAATTTGCGATGGAAATTTGGGAATTTTCCGGGGTAACTCGTGTTCTTCTGGAAGTACTGCGACGGCAAGCAAGTTACATGTCGGTGTTCGATTGTTGCTCGCGACGCTGGCTCACTTACGCAAAACTCCGTGTTCAGTGAGGTGCCCATGAGCTGCCAGCGGGTTGTTGCTCCCTTGACATGGGTTTGATGGTTCTGTATAAAAACATCCATAACAGCCTACAAGCACAATGTAAAATTTGTTTTGTGGTTACACAATACCATGTGCTCCGATGATGAAGTTGTTTAGTTGATACAGTTCCGTAGAAGTAAGAATGAAGTACATCAATATGCGAGAAGTATACACACAAGAAGTATCCACACAAAAGTGGTACTAGCGTGTTCGACAACAACCATTCAAAGAGCACCAGGCGTATGCACTCTAGAAGATCCTACAACGCTTTTCATGTTTCTCTCTGCTATGTACAGGCGATCAAAGTGCAACACCTGCAGAGGGCAACAGAATGGATAGTCAAATGAGTGAAATCCCCCAAGCGGGTCTGTTACAGCTCAGGGAACTGCAGATGGATCGGTTGCAAGCGGGTCAGGTGCAAGCTGGTCAGGTGAAAGCCGGTCAGGTGCATGCTGGTCAGGTGAAAGCCGGTCAGGTGGTGCAAGCTGGTCAGGTGCAAGCCGGTCAGGTGCAAGCCGGTCAGGTGCAAGCCGGACAGGTGTAAACCAGTCAGGTGCAAGCTGGTCAGGTGCAAGCTGGTCAGATGTGATTGGGCTATCTCAAGCTTGACAAGTTAACAAAACATTACATGTGCCACATATGACCAGACCATGGAAGGAGACACAGAAGCAAGGGAGTAGCAAGGCGTGGAAGCAAGGAAACAAGGGAGCACGAATGCAAGGATGAAATGGATGAAGGAAGCAAGGAAAAACGCGTGAAGCGGCACATTGCCAGGTGGATTCCGCAGAACCAAAAGGGAAGATAAGGTAAAGTGGGTAGACTATAAATTGGGAGGGTTGGGAGATAGGGTAGATTGGGCAACTGGGTACAATGGGTGGGTTTTGTGCAAGGGGTAGGCAACGCACCCAAGCAGGACGGCAGGACTTCTCGTAGAGAGACCGTGCAGGCTGACAGCAAGGAGGATACTCCAGTGCCTTGAACTGCGATCGCCGTGAGGAGGGTGATGAGGGTGATGAGGGTGATGTGGATGATGGCGGTAGTGTGCTGCTGGCCAGGCTGCCTGCTGCTGCTGCTGCTGCTGCTGCTGCTGCTGCTGCTGCTGCTGCTTCTCCTGCTGGTTGCTCCCGTGGGGCAGCAGCAGTTGCAGCCTCTGCCTCCGCAGCTGGCGCTGCTGCTGACTCCACGCATGCATAGAATGCATCCCGTGCCTGCAGAACGGAGATGGCGGGAAGGGGAAGTGTGTGGGGGGGGAGGAAAGAGTGCGGAGCGGGAATGGGATTGAGCCCAATTACAATGCACAGCTGCTGCTGCTGCTGCTGACTCCATGCATGCATAGAACGCATCCCGTGCCTGCGGGATGGGGCAGGGGAGGGGGTGTGGGGAGAAAAATGTGGAAGGGGGGGTGGGGAGGAGGGGAGGGTGGGGGGGGGGGATTGAGTGGAATTATATTGCACAGCTGGCGCTGCTGACTCCACACATGCATAGAACGAACCCCGTGCCTGCGGGTCGGGGCAGGGGAGGGGGGAAGGAAGGGGAGGGGGCGAGGATTGAGTCGACTCAAAAGGTTATATTGCACAGCTGGCGCTGCTGCCGCCTCACATCCATAATCCGCGTTTCGTGCCTGCAGGACGGGGGGAGGAGGAGGAGGAGACACTGATGAGTCGACCCCAAAGTCTTTTCGCACAGCTGCTGCTCCTGCTGACTGCACTCACGCACGAAGTCGCATCCTGTGATGAGGAGGAAGAGGAGAACAACAAAGAGGTTACCGTTGCATGACAGGGGGAGAAGAATGTTTGCGCATCTACAACTAAAAAAGAAAATCGCGCAGCAGCCGCTGCTGATTCCGAGCATCTTGTCCCGTGCCTCGAATAGGAAAAAAGAATTGGTTATCGTTGCAAGATCAGAGGAGAGCGATAATTGCGCATCGAATCAAGATCAGAGGACATCTCGCACAGCTGGTGCGACCGATTCCACATGTGCATAGAGCACATGTAAGTGGTGATACTGTTCGAGCGAGGTAAATAGCCAAATTGCATGGTTTTTGGATGGAATATACGTGCCTTATAGCAGCGGTCGCGCGCTGCGGATAAGACGTCCGTTACCACCGCCGATCCCGGCGCCTGTGGCGGCGACGGGCCAGGTCGTTCTGCGTCTGTCGTGGACGAGTTTTCTCCCATTTTAGTCGCGTGATCCGAGCGTCGGCCTTTTTGAGAAGTGCTATAACGCGGATGCGAATGCAGGATTGCTGTAACCGAGTCGGCGAACAAAAGTTCAACACTGCACAGTGGGAAATTGAGGTGTCAGAGTGGCGGGAACTGGCTGCAGGAGTTGTAAGAGTCAGATCATACGCGTTGATAACAGTAATTCGTTATTATCATCGTTCGAAAAAATACATTAACTATACAGAAAACAAACCCGGATTTATCAACGTCTTTCTGTTTAACCGAAGTGATTCACCGCAATGAGCCATTTATCGAATGTCGGCACGGCACCATCTCCACGCAATGCTCTGAAGTTTGTCTACATTCGGCCGCCAATCCACGTGAAGGATTTCGGTCGCTTCGCAGGTGAATGAACAAATGCGCAACGTGGCTCATGTGGGAAACTGAGGAACGGCAGCAGGGCAGCGTCCCCATTTTTCCAGGGAGGATACACCACAGTAATTAAACTATTTCGAAACGCAGATCACAAAACGGTAAGCACAGTAAAACACTAGCACTCAGTAAAGTGCAAATATCATCGACATTCTGGTAAAATTTTACGTGAATTAACCGTGCTACGCAAAACTCTGCCTTCTATTTCCAACTTTCTACACCTTTACTCTGGAAGCAAAACCACCACCGCTAGTTTTCGCATGTCGGACAAAAAGCTGGATGACAGTGGTTTCGAAAGGAACCGACCCCTTTCCCGCCATCTGCCAATGAACCTCGCCTTCCATCTGCAATCCCACCACCCTGTCAAACCAACCCATCTGAAACCATTTGAAACCACCTAACCTACCTGAAATATTTCCTTCCTCCTCTCCGTACAGCCCTTCTGCAGTCTCCCTCACTTTCTCCCCCACGCCAGCCTTATTCAAGAAACCATTCGAACAAAAACCGCAGAGCTCTTTTAGAAAGTCGTTCTTGACATTGCAAGACGCGAGCCATTACTCTAGACTAGAAAACGCGAGCAGTGCTATACCGGCCTGACGCCTCGCTATACCCGGTTTGCGATAACCCATCGCTGTCCTACTCCACCTTGCGTAGTTTTGGAAAGCCAAAAGGATATTCGGAGCGTTGCGTGACTCGTGCTCAAGGGACTGAGAGTCGCCAAAGAATCGCGTGCATCGCCAAACTGATCAGGCCGCGAGCCGAGGATACATAAAAGCGCCAAATATCCAGCTGAGAATAGACCTGACAATACACCTGGGCATCCAGCGCGGACCACAGCTTGAAGTACAGCTGGGAGTATACCCGTAATTTACAGCCATGGGTCCGCTAAGGAGCAACAGCCGTTGCGCGCCCGCCGTCCTCGCGCTCGTTACAATCACGTTCGCGACGCTCGCCGCGTCGCCGGCATTCGCGGGGAAGATCAGGCAGGTGTTCGCGTTCGGCGATCAGGCGTTCGACACGGGCATGAGCCGCTTCTTCAGCCAGTCCGTCTGGAAGGCCACCGCGCCGCCTTACGGCCAAGATTGGGGCAAGATATCGGGCCGCTTCAGCAACGGCCGTCTCGTCCTTGACTTTATCAGTGAGTGATTGTCGGAGAGTGGTTATACAAATGTGACTGTCGCCAGCGCTCCGCACGGGTATGAGACGCGTTTGACGCCACAATCGTCGCCGCAATCGTCGCCGCGACCTTCCCCGCAGGCTTCCCCGAGCCTCTCACATGCCACCGCATGCGGGTCCTGTCGATGCAACTCCCTTCCGTCGTTTCCCCACTTCCGCAATTTTCCCCCTTTCCGTCATTTCCCCCCTTTCCGCCATCTCACCACCTTCCGCCATTTCCCCCCTTTCCGCCATTTCTCCCCCTTCCACCATTTCCCCCTCTTCCCCATTTACCCCTCTCCCCCTCTTTTTCCCTCTCCCCCTCCTTCCCCGCATCTCTCCCCCACCTCCAGCGTTCCGACTGGAACTCCCGAGTCTCTTCGCGTGCCATCGCAACCCGCTCGTGTCGAAACTCATATGCGATCACCACCATTCCGCCTTTTTCCCCCTTCCCCACCCCCAATCCTCCCTCCTCCCGCACCCCCCTCCCCCTCCTCCCCTTCCCCCTTGTCCCCCACCACCCCAGCGTTCCGCCTGGGTCTGCCGAGCCTCTTCGCGTACCACCGTAAGCCGCTCGTGTCGAAGCAGGGAACGAGCTTCGCGACTGCCGCGGCTGGCGCGCGAAACTGGGTGTACGCGGGGAAGGTGCGTGTGAGAGTGTGACTGTAGCCACGTGATAAAAGGGAGTTTTCGAGACGTCTCAAAAACTCCCTTTTATCAACTGGGTGTATGTGGGGAAGGTGCGTGTGATAGTGACTGTAATGAGTGGAAGGTGTAGTAGTGTGACTATATTGAGGGAAGAAAGAAGCAGTGAGCGACAGATGCGCTGCCTGGCGCAGATATCGTACGTGCATGAGAGTGCAAGGACACGCCTTCGCCACAGCTTGAGCCTCGAGGCTTCATCACCCCTTCCCACCCCTTCTCCACCCCTTCCCATCCCTTCCCATCCCTTCTCAACCCCTCCCCACATCCCTTCCCTTTGCAGACGCGCAGCCTGCAGACGCAGATAGCGTGCATGCAGGAGCACAAGGACAAGCGCAACTCGAAGCTTCACCACCCCTTCTCACCCTTTTGCACCCCTTCCCATCCCTCCCTTTTCAGACCCGCAGCCTGCAGACCCAGATAGCCGTACATGCTGGAGTATAAGGACAAGCGCAACAACAACCCGACGTTTCATCACCGCTTCCCATCCCATTCCACCCGTTTCCATCCCCTTTCCCCCGTCCCCATTCCTCTCCAGACCCGTAGCTTGCAGACCCAGATAGCGTACATGCAGGAGTACGGACAAGCCTTCACCCTCACCTCGCTCCTTCCCACCCCTTCTCAACCCTTTGCACCCCTTCCCATCCCTACCGCTTGCAGACCCGCAGTCTCCAAACTCAGATAGCGTACATGCAGGAGTACAAGGACAAGCGCAAAAACAACCCGACGTTTCATCGCCGCTTCTCACCCTTTCCCATCCCTTACCATCCCTTCCCACCCCTTCCCATCCTTTCCCTTGCAGACACGCAGCCTGCAGACCCAGATAGCGTACATGCAGGAGTACAAGGACAAGCGCCAGAACAACCCGCAAGTGGTGAGATGAAACGGCGGGTGGTGAGATGAAACGGCGGGTGGTGAGATGAAACGGCGGGTGGTGAGATGAAACGGCGGGTGGTGAGACGAAAAGGCAAGTGGTGAGATGAAACGTGGTGAGATGAAACTACAAGTGGTGAGAGGAAACGACTGCTGGTGAGACGAAATGGCAGGTGGTGAGATGAATACCTTTCCCTTGCTCACCCCTCTCTGTCTTCTTTTGAGATGAATACCTTTCCCTTGCGCCTCAAAAGCTTTCCCTTGCTTACCCCTCTCTGTCTTCTTCTCCACATGCTCGACCAATCACTGATTCCAATCAGCGCCAGAACCAGCAACTACGCATTGATCATTCCCTGTTTAGGCCATCATCCTTTCTCTCCCCCATCCTGTTTGTAAGCCTTCATCCCTTCTCTCCCCCATCTCTTTTGCTCTTCCTTCCCAATCTTCCTGTTTTGCATTTCCAGACACTCGACCAGTCGCTAATTATGATCAGTGCGGGAACCAACAACTACGTGTTGGCGATTCTTGTTCCCAGGCGCTTTTGAGTGACTTTTGAGTGACTTTTGAGTCGACCCAAAAGTCATCAAGAACCAACAACTACGTGTCGGCGATTCTTGTTCCCAGGCGCTCATCCCCTCTCTCCCTGTTCCTTTTGTTTCCCCTCCCCCCCCGCCCCCCCCCCCTTTCCTGTTCCACTCTTCCCAGATGCTGGACCAATCGCTGATTATGATTAGCGCGGGAACCAACGACTACGTGTTGGCGCTTCTCGGGCAGTCGGGCGGGCAGAGCGTGGAGCAGGTGTTGTCTGCTACGACAGGGGCGATAATCAAAGCAGTGCAGGTGAGTCAAGAGTATTCAACGCGAGTTAACTGGAGTCAACAGGAGTCAAGGGGAGTCAACAGGAGTCAATGGGGGTCAGCAGCAGTGTGACGGGCAGAGCATGTAGCAGGTGGTGTCTGCAACAACACGGGCGATAGTCAAAGCTGTGGAGGTGATCCAGACCACCAAGATCGCGTTGTTTGACTGCCGCCCGTGGGATGCATCCCAGCCATGCGCCACTTCAAGAAGACCGCCTCCCTTCCACTGCCGCACTCTCCTCACCGCTCTCCACCCCTCCCTACCCCCCCACCAGGACCTCAATGCAATGACCAAGACCACCAAGATTGTGGTGTTTGACGTGCCGCCCCTCGGGTGCATCCCAGCCGTCCGTTACTTCAAGAAGACCCCCTCCTCACCCCCTTGGGGCATTTGCACTCACCTCACCTCCCTCCCCATCCCCCACCCAATTCCTCACCAGGACCTCAACGCAATGACCAAGGCCACCAAGATTGCCGTGTTTGACGTGCCCCTTCTCGGGTGCATCCCGGCTGTACGCTACTTCAAAAAGACTCCGGCGGGGGAGTGTGACGAGGCGAGCAACAAGATAGCATCCGTATTCCCCACTTCCCCACACCCCGCTCCAATCCTCCCCTCACCAGGACCTCAACGCAATGACCAGAACCACCAAGATTGTTGTCTTTGATGTTCCCCCCCTCCGGTGCATCCCTGCTGTGGGATACTTCAAGAAAACCCCCTTCTTCCCCCTTGAGGCAAATGCAACCACCCCCCCGGTCCTCTCTCCCCCTCCCTCGCCCCTCACCACCAGGACCACATGCAACCGCCCCCCCCCTCTCGGGTGCATCCCTGCTATTCGTTACTTCAAGAAGACCCCTGCAGGGCAGTGCGACATGGCGGTGAATAAGATACCATTCCCCACTTCCCCACCCCACACCCCACTCCCAATCCTCCCCTCACCAGGACCTCAACGCAATGACCAAGACCACCAAGATCGTGGTTTTCAACGTGCCCCCTCTCGGGTGCATCCGTGCTGTTCGCTACTTCAAGAAGGCTCCCTCCCTTCTACTGGGGCTGCACTCTCCTCACCACTCTCCACCCCTTTCAACCTCCTCACCAGTACCTCAACGCAATGACCAAGAGCACCAAAATTGTTGTCTTTGACGTTCCCCCCCTCGGGTGCATCCCGGCCGTGCGTTACTTCAAGAAGGCTCCCTCCCTTCCACTGGGAGCCGCACTCTCCTCACCGCTCTCCACCCCTCCCTACCCCCTCACCAGGACCTCAACGCCATGACCAAGACCACCAAGATCGTGGTGTTCGACGTACCCCCCCTCGGGTGCATCCCAGCCGTCCGTTACTTCAAGAAGACCCCCGCGGGGCAGTGTGATGCGGCAGCGAATAAGTTAGCCGACCAGCACAACACGGGGGTGCGGGTGAAGCTGGATAAGCTGAGGCAGCAGGGGGTCACCAATTTGATACTCTTCAAACAGAGCACCGTGTATCGAGTCAAGGGCACCACTGCAGGTAAGGGTTTGGTGGGTGGGTGGGTGGGTGGAGTGGGTGGCCCTCACCCACAGCGTGTGGGAGTGTAGCCAAGGCGTGACCAACCTCATCCTCTTCAAACAGAGCACCGTGTTCCATGTCAAGGGCACCGCTGCAGGTGCGTGTGTAGTTGTGTGTGGTTGTGTGCGGTTGCATTCGATTGAGTGTTAGAGTGTGCGGTTAGATGCGGTTGAGTGTGGGTGTGTAACCAGGGTGGATGTGGATGTGCGTGCAGATAAATATATTCTCATACCCAGACTGCACTTTTATGAAGCTCTCCTTTTTGCTCACCACCAGGTGGTTTCATTGACCAGACGTCAGTTTGCTGCGAAGGTAAAACACCCAGCGGAAAGCTGATAGCATGCGGGCAGACGGTGAAAGAGGGCGGCAAGAGCTACAGTGCAACGGCTTGCAAGGACCCGACCAAGTACGTGTGGTGGGACTGGTACAATCCCACAGAGGCATTTAATGAAGTGCTGTCGGGTATTTTGTGGCACAGCAACAGTGTTTCGTATGTGTCTCCGTTCGGACTGAAGGCTATCGTTGACAAGTAGAGACAGAGAAACAATAAGTTTATAAGTATTGAGGCTATAGTATCTAATGCCATTAGCATATAGACTGGACGCTTTTCGCTTAGAGCTGCATTGGAGTTTGCAGCTTCTGTATCTTATTAATTGTCAAAATGAGGAATGGATGTTCCATTGATGTTGGTTGGGGTACACATAGCAAACCCTAACTTTTGTACCCCCTAAGACAAACCTCACTACAGGCTACAACATTTGACACACCCCCATAGCCTAAGTGAGGGGTGTCTAGCAAAATCAAAAAGAGTACGGTCACAAGACCAGTCCAAAAGAAAACAAAGCTCAGGGTGGATCACAACGTCACCACACACTCTGAGCACAAGCAACAGTGGCCACAAGGCCAGTCCAAGAGATAACAAGTATATATAGCAAGTGTACAGACGAAGCAGGCAATAAACTCAAGTCTACACATGACTAGAACCTGTGTCAACAAGGCCTAACTGCACACAACACCTCTGGTGGTCACAAGGCGGAAGCGCCTTGGTGAAGATGTCTGCAGTGTTGGCCTCGGACTCTACGAACTCGAAGCGAGCCTGTCCACGTCTCTGCAACTCTCGCAGAAGAAAGTACCTGACGTGAATGTGCTTCACTCTGCTCTCTAGTCGCGGCTCACGACAGAGGAGGATCGACGCCTTGTTGTCAGTAAACAAGGTCGGTGCAGAGCTCGGCCGCTCACCAAGGTCGGCGAGCAAGAAGGTCAACCACCGCAACTCCTGTGCCGCCATGGCACCAGCGTAAATCTCAGCCTCAGCTGTAGAGGTCGAGACAGAAGAGGAGCGCGTGGAACGCCAGGAAACAGCTCCAGAACCCAGACTGAAACAGTACCCCTGAGTAGACCTGTGAGTCTCAGCGTCGTCAGCGTAAGAGGAGTCACAGTGACCAGTGAGTACGACAGGCTGCTGCCCTCCAAGAACTAGCCCCACGCCTGATGTAGTCGCTAGGTACTTCGCCACCCTCACAGCTGCCGTCCAGTGAACAGGACGGTGTCTCCCTGGCGCAACAAAGCGCGCAAGGATGCTGAGAGGGAAGGCGAGGTCCGGGCGAGTACAAGTCATCAGGTACATGAGGCAACCCACAAGCTCTGCGTAGGGACCACTAGGCTCAAACGGCTCGTCAGGAAAGGGACCAGTGAGTCTGTGGTCAACAGCGAGAGGTGTGCGCTGTACGGTGGAGTGCTGAAGCCCGAACCGCTGAAGGACCTGCTGCACCATGTGTGACTGTGAGAGTGTAATGGTGCGAGCGGCTCTGTCCCTGGTGATCTGCAGGCCAAGGTAGTGGCGCAGCTCACCAAGATCAGTGCACGTGTGTCTCTTCTGCAGTTCGGACTTCACGTCTGCCAAAGCAACCCTGTCCGGAGTGGCGAAAACGAGGTCGTCGACGTAGACCAGAACAAAGAACGGTGTGGAGCCACGACGAACGAACAGCGACGGGTCGGCAGAAGACGGCTGGAACCCAAGGTCAGAGAGGGTAGAACGCAGAGTGTCGTGCCACTCACGAGGGGCCTGGCGAAGACCGTAAACAGGTCGCCTAAGCCTCCACTGGGTCCCAGGAGGGAAAGTGCCCGTGAAGGCCGAGGGACGACGCAACCAGACCTCCTCGTGTAGGCTGCCCTGAAGGAAAACAGTGGAGAAGTCGAGAGAGTGTAACTCGTAGTCTCTCTGTGCTGCTACGTGTAGTAACACCCGAAGAGTGGTCATCTTCGGGGTAGGTGCGAAGGTCTGAAAAAAGTCAACTCCCTCGCGCTGACTGAAACCTCTAGCCACGTAGCGCGCCTTGAAGACCGGGGGAGATCCCGGTGGCCGCTTCACCCTGTAGATCCACATGCCGTCGACTACGTTCGCCCCAGGGGGGGGAACCTCATCGACGTAGGTGCCTGTGGATCTGTAGGAGGCCATCTCTGCGTCCATGACAGCTCTCCACTGAGAGGCCCAAGGCCCTGACACTGCCTCAGCGTAAGTGCGAGGAGTCGGAATGTCAAGAGCGTCGGGGTCACCCTCAGGGGCGAGGAGCATGGCACAGAGATGAGGGGAAGCGGCCGCCAGGAACTCTAGCTCAAACTGTCTGTCCTCTAGGGCGTCACAGCCAAGGGCAGACACACCCCCGACGGCCAGAGGACTGGTAGGAGGAGCAGCCACAAGCGTGGAGGCGTAGTGAAGGCGGCGGGTAGAGGCAAAGTCAGTAACTGCGGCAGTAAGAGCGGACACAGAGGACACAGAGGCACGAGGGTGAGTAACAAGAGAGGCGAGAACACGAGAGAGAACAGGACGGTACGTGCGGTAGTAGTCAGTGACAGGAGTAGGGAGCGACACAGTGAGGGCGGACTCAGGAGGAGACGGAAGCACAGACTGAGACGGACGAGGTGGACTAGAAAGAAGGAAGGCAGTACGAAGGTCAGTGAAGGGAACAGGAGACGAGGGACGAGCACAAGGGGAGCGACGAGTAGCCCAAGAACAAGACGGAGGAGGAGAGGACAAAGGCAGAGAACTGGGGAAAACAGCGGGGGAGGAGTCAGGAGGAGGAAATGTGGGACCGTAGACAGGAGGAGAGGCGGAGGAGGGAGGAGAAGGGGAGGGGAGACCAAGGGTCCGAAGACCCGAGACAGGAGGAGGAAGTGGCTGCTGCTGCTGCTGCTGCTGCGACTGCTGCTGCTGCGGAAGCGGCTGCTGCTGGGACTGCTGCTCCTGCGGGTCCAGCTGCTGCTGCTGCTGCTGCTGCTCCTGCGGCTCCAGCTGCTGCTGCTGCTCCTCCAGCCGCTGTAACTCCCTCTCCTCTCTCTCCAACGCCAGCTGCTCGTCACGGGCACGGCGAACACGAGCCTGGTGCCTAGTCGGGTAGGGGTGGGGGGGCGGAGTAGTGTCCGAAGCAGCGGTAGCTCCAGAGTCCACCCCCGAAGAACCAGGCGCACCACCCCCAGAGGCAGCACTAACACCAGCTCCAGACCCAAGCTCACCTGAACCCGAAGGAGGCGCACCCTCACCCCCAGACGCAGCACCCCCAGTGGCCGCGCGACCAGCACCAGCTCCCGGACGACAAGAGTCCTCTGCACCCACCGGGACAGCTCCAACTCCAACTCCAGAACCAGAAACTCCAGCTCCAACTCCAGCTCCAACTCCAGCACCCCCAGAACCAGAAACTCCAGTGCCAACTCCAGCACCAACTCCAGCTCCAACTCCAGCACCCCCAGAACCAGAAACCGGTACAGGAACAGGCGCAGCACCAACCTCTCGAGAGCTAGCACCAGCGGCACGCTGCGAGGAGGAATGTGGGGAGGGAGGCTGTACCGGAGGGGCTACCGAAGGAGGAGGGGTAGCCTGGGACACACCTGACGGGGCTGGACCAGGGGGGGGAGGCTGTACCGGGGGAGCAGGAGGGGGGGCTGCAGTCAGGAAGAGGGGGGGAGGAGGAACCGGGAGACCTCGACTGGGGTACCTGACGTAGTACGAAGTGGACTCCTCGAAACGGACGTCACGGGAGTCAAAGAACCGGTGAGAGGGAGGGTGGTAAAAGGTGAAGTCAGAGGAGTCCTCAGGAAAACCAAGGAAGACACAGGGGACGGCACGAGGCAAGAGCTTGTCCGCGGAGGTGTCGCGGACAAGAGCCAAGCACCCCCAGACGCGAAACCGCGACGCAACACCAGGGGACCCTGTCCAAAGACTGGTCGGTGACACCTCTGGTCGAGAGACACGTGGCCAGAGGTTCAGCTGGTGCGCGGCGTACCTGACCGCGTAGGGCCACAGAAAATGGGGGGCACAGGCGTGAGTCAGGGAGGTGCGGGCGATCTCCATGACCAGGCCTATGCGGCGCTCAGCAACCCCATTCTGCTGTGGGGACTCTGGAAGCGTCCAGGACTGACGAATGCCCTGCTCGCGACAAAATCCAGCGAGAATGCCGGAGCGAAACTCACCCCCACGGTCGGAGTGGAGACAGCTGACACGACGACCACGAGTGTCCTCGGTGGTGAGCAACCACCTGATCAGCGTAGAAGTCACCTCAGACTTCTTCGCCAGAGGGAACACTGTGGTGTAGCGGGAGAAGTCGTCAACGACCACCAGAAAGTAACGCTCACGCTCAGGGCCTAGACGAGGGGCGGGGCCCCAGACGTCCAAGTGAAGGGTCTCAAAAGGCTCGGTGGCCGGACGTAGGGAGGAGGAGTGAGGGGTGGCGCGCAGCCGACCCTCGACGCAGGGACCACACGGCGGCGCAAGCGAAGGCGGCAGCGACGGCAAGACACGTGGGAGGCCTAGGACAAGACGCTGACTGGACATAGCGCGCAGACGAGGAAGGGACGGGTGCCCCATCCGGTGGTGCCACAGAACGGTGGGGTGGGCAAGCGACCGGCAGGAGCACGACGCAGCGACTGGAACAGACGTAGGAACCTGACACGACACAGACACCTGGGGGGACGAAGCAACCTGGTGAGACGTGGGGACCCGAACGGGGGGGGGGGACCGGGGGCAGCGGCAGTAGGGGGGGCTGCTGGTGCGGCCGCTGGTGCTGCTGCTGCTGCTGCTGCGGCTGCGGCTGCTGCTGCTGCTGCGGCTGCTGCTGCGGCGCACGCGGGCCAGTGTGAAGAGTGTAGAGACCCGAGCCCGGCTCAGCAGTAAAGGTAGCAAGAGGCTGGTAAGAGTCTCCGTCAACACACACCGCAGTCTCTCCAGAAGGCTCAAACCACACACCCACGTGCTGACTCACAAGGGGTCGCACGCCCACCAAGTTCCGGGAGAACGAGGGGACGTGAAACCCAGTGAGAGACCCGGAGGGAGCAGCAGGACACGGTAAAGTGGTAGTGTGACGTGCAGTGACTGGTCCCGTAGTGGGATCAGCCAATGCAACAGAAACAGGCGCAGGAAGTGGTGTAAGTGTCGTGCTGTCCCGGAAGAAGCAGTGGGAGGCTCCAGAGTCCAGCGTGAACGACAGCGAAGCGTCCTCTGAGGTAGTCGCTGGTCTAGAGTCTACACAAGAACCTACAC